TTTTTTTTGTACATGGACCTTTCGGTTTCTGGATCCACAGGGGAACCGACTAATCTGGAATCGAGCCGGGTAGGACTACAAGGGCGGCAAAGCTCTCCCTCAAGAGTTTTAACACAGCTGCGGATCCACAGGGGAACCGACTAATCTGGAATCGAGCCGGGTAGGACTACAAGGGCGGCAAAGCTCTCCCTCAAGAGTTTTAACACAGCTGCATTCCCAGGGCTCGAACACGAGACCACTGGTTAAGCTGGAAGAGACCCAAGCCATTTCTCTTGGGTAAAATCTATATTTTTTAAAGCAATGTAAGTATGATATTTTTCATAAAAAGTGTAATTATAACTAGTTAGAATAAGAGTTGTTAAATGAAACGAGCCGCTCATGAGCTCGGCTCGTTAAGGCTCGAGCTCGACTCAGCTTGTTTGATAAAAGTCAAGCTCATATAAAGCTTTTTTTATATAATTTTCTATATTTTAGCTCGTTGAACGCGATTTTGACTCATTAAAACTCGAACTCAATTTGTTTTTTATTAATAATCAAGCGAAGCACAAGCTCAGCTCCACTCATTTACAACTAGTTAGAATTTCAATGATTTTTTCATGGATAGTTTGACTTTTCCTCACAAAGATATTGAAATGAAAATTACAAATTGGAGTAATGGGTAAGTATAGGGCTGCGCATCCCAAACTTTATGCACATAAAGTGATCAATTTAGACATTAAAGAGAAATTGGATTTAGATTTTATGGGACCACAATTTATCGTCCTATACATACTTCATTCACGAATAGTAGAAATTAATTAAAGCACATATATACTTGATGTATCTGGACATTTGATCCCACTGCTTGAGTTAATTATTTGTTTATATGGTCAAAATTTCTCAACAAATATATATATTATATATATATATATATATATATATATATATCGGGTAGATTAACACTTGCAAATAAAATATAATTAAATCAACCACTTATTAGCAATTGGTGGACAATTGATTCAAACACTAAGCAAATAGCTAATAATTGATGTAATCACTTAACAAACAGTGGATAGCTGATTTAATCAGCTGATAGCGGATAACTAATTAAATTAACATGTTTGGCGAATTGATTGGATAAATCAATTATGCAAAGTGTTCAGTAAATAATGATCTATTTGACTTATAAAAATAATAAAAATTATAATTCTGATACAAAGTGTTTGATTAATAGTTAGTCATGTAAATTAACTTAAACTAGATTTTTCTATATCAAAAGGCTAATATAGTGAACTTCTTTTAAAATTAGTTCCCACGGCTTGCGAGCGATGTTATTGGTATCTCGTATCCTATGCATGTGATTGCCTAAACCTGCTTGGTGTTGGTCTCTCTCTTGTACCAAAAAAAAAAAAAAAAAGTTAGCATCTGGCATCTATTTTCAAACCACCCACCATTAACAAACAATGAAATTAGAAGTTTGTTAAACTTCGAATTTACTCTTAAACATGAATTACCAAACATGATATAGCTTTTGAAATTTTGAATTTTCAATATAATTTAACAAACACAAATTAAAATCTAAAAAAATAAATAAATAGTAAAAAATAAAAACACACAAAAGGTAAAAAAAAATAAATTCATTTTTACCCCTAATTCAATTTCACTTTCTCTCGTCTCTCCCGCTATTTCCTCTCACTTGCCTTTCCCGGCAAACACACACACACAAAACACACATTTTCTCTTCATTCTCACGATCCCAACAAATCCAAGCAAAACGACAAAAAAGAATGCAGAGCGCGTCTATTACACTCACCGCTCCCCTTCCTCCCTCCTCCATCCGCCGGAGGTCCGCCACAGGGATCAACTCGCTCGCTATCCGCCCAGCGGGACGGCTGCGTTTCAGAGATGCTCCGCTCCCGTCACTCGCGGCGGCTTCTGCCTCTGCCTCGGGCTGGCGCCAGAGCCCAATTGGGTGGTCGATGAAGCGGAGTGTGTGGTTTTCGGGCCCGGGAATTTTTGGTTTCGGACCCAGGTCGGGCGGCGCGGTGGTCCGGGCGGCTGCGGAGGAGGACGCCGGTGCGGCGGCGAGCCCCAAATCGACGGGCCTCGTGGATGCTTTGGTGCTGGGAACGCTTTTCGTGCTTTGGTTCACGTTTAATGCTTATTTCAATATCTACAACAAGCAGGTGGAAATTGTGAATATGCCTCATTCCATTTTCTACTGTGTTTTCAGTTTTAAATACACCTCCGCTGGAAATGTAGGGTATGGGTGAATTATTGTTGTCTGTTGCTTCGTGTCTTGTTATGAATTGCTGTGAGTTTCTGTGGTGTACTGGGAATTTGGTTGTGCTAGTGCTTGAATTTTCAATCATAGACTGCAAAAATTTGATATAAGGAGGTATGTTGAGGAATTTGAAGTTATAGACTGCAAAAGTTTGATATATGGGTGTACGTTGAGGAATTTTTAATCTGTGGAGTAGTTTTTGCTATTTTTCTGTTGGGTGTGTCCTCAAGAAATTATTTCATGTTTTGAGTTGCAATGTTGAGTGCAGTATCAGCTCTTACGGTTTCCGACACTTGATCTACTTGGTCAATGTGCTTGGTCGATATAGTTACTGCACTTGAATTTGAGCTAGGATTTCCCGAGTCCCTTTCTTGGGTAAAAAAGTCCTAATCTTTTTTATCCTTTTGTGAAAATTTCTTGCTAAGGTCTTGTATTGATTGTTATAAGAATGATGGGGTTTTTGTTTCCTTCTTGTTTTGGTTATAGGTTCTCAAAGATTTTCATTACCCGCTTACTGTCACTCTTGGTCAATTCGCTGTAGGGGCAGCACTGGTTACTCTGATGTGGATGTTGAATCTCCACAAAAGGCCCAAAATCAGTGGCGCTCAGGTACTTCATGTGGAGGGCGTTTTTTTTT